AAGCTCGAACTAGAGCACGATTTGGTGTATGAAGCAAAATCATCAAAAAGAAAAGCATGAACTGGGGCACCATTTGGTGCACGAAGAAAACCACAAAAAAGCACGATTTGGTGCACGAAGAAAGCTCAAAAAAAACACGATTTGGTGCACGAAGAAAACCAGAAAAAAGCACGATTTGGTGCACGAAGAAAACCACAAAAAAGCACGATTCGGTGCACGAAGAAAACCGTGAAAAAAAACGTAATTTTTTGGTGCTCCATTTGAAGCATGTTTCGTAAGAAATTGTTTTAACGACTGTTACAGAGGTTAGGCAAGACACAATATATATAAATATATATATATACATATCTTTTTATATATATATATACATATCTTATATATATATATATATACATATCTTTATATATATATACATACCTTTATATATATATATATATCTTAATAATTTATATATATAAAGGTTATACATTCATTATATTCCATGTGTGGGTGCTCTCAAATGCCAATATCGCCGTAAAACAACGGCGACACCGGCCTCCTGCCAGCGCCTCACCTGTCTCTGAGGCCGCAATCAAAAACATGGTTATATGATTCGAGATATTGGACAAAATCTCAAGACATATAGTATATATATAAATATATTATATACTTTTTGTTGTATGATATTGGATTCTACATATTCTAGATATTCTGAAATATTGGACATAAATATGCTTCGATTTATGAATCTAGATATGAGTAGATATGAATATTTACAAATGGTTTGCAAACCACCCTCAACCATAGATGGGACATGAACCAAAAGTTTCTGCGTATGTTTCATCCACTCGCTATCAAGTAGTTGACCCGGGTGGTCGTGTTCCTTGGCCGTATAGACAATGAAGAGTTTCCATCAACCCTACGAATTTGTATCAAATTGTGGTTTTTGCGTGGGTAAACTGTGTACTCCATGTTGTTCCTTGGGTTGTGATTTATAGAATAATCCCCTTCTATGGTTTTGCCCATTGGGGATGGTTGATGGGTGGATCCTCCCTTTACAGCGGTTGAGACCCCCATGATGGTAGCCAAGTCGCTGTGGCGAAAGATGCCACCGATTTCGTGAGACAAATGTGGACCCCCAAGGGCTTTCAAGACTCCTGAACGCATTGTATAAAACTAATCTCCTGAAGTAAACTGGGTACAATTGAATATTCTCTCTACAATGCTGGATCCTCTCGGAGGGAACTGATCTTGCTTTAAACATGTTGATTCAAGTCGATGCAAATACAATAACGATTCCGCTCGAAACATCGGACAACGAAAGATCATCGAGGTCAGGTTTGGCACCTCCCAAGCGAGCACCAGGGACGTTGAAAAACAACCCGCAGCTAGATCGCTCAAGAGCTTTTGCACCTGATGGCCAAGGAGTTAACAGGTCAAAGCACCAGATCATGCAAAAAGAGTTATATAACTATATTGTAACCAAGGTATACTGAACAAGTAAAAAAGTCATTGCGTATCAGTCTCATATCCCGTGTTCAGGGATGTTCGCAGATGGAACATAACAACAAAGGAAACAACCATCCAACCAGGAAACTTGAAAGAGAGGGGAAATTCAACGATGGCATGCCGGATTCAGAAAAAACAAATGTGCAAGTCTGATTCACAGGCATGACTGATGTGTTAGCAATCAATCTGATTTGAGGTTCCGTTTGATGCTTACATTACTTTTCATTTCTTGTGAGGTCGTTTGCGGTCGCTTAACAGCACTTCAGACATCTCAACAACCACCAGTGAACAAACAACGGCTGCTTGTCAAGATTCATGAAAAATCCTGAACAAATTCACGGTAACCCTGAAAATCTTAAAATCTTAGCACACATCCTTCCTGGTTTCCGTCATCACTTTTTGGCCGTCGCCCATGTCCCACGTCGTCTCTGATCCAACCAGCAACTGAGTTTTTTCCCAGCTCCGTTGAAACAGCACAATGACGTTGCAGCCAGGGGAAATCATGCAGGGGAACCATCCGAACTGTGTAGATGATTGGAGATGCAAACTTTGAAAATTGAGGAATCACATTACCACAAAAATACGCGAGAAAGGTACCCCTAAATCCAGTGGTCAGTCATCATTTTCAGGTCTACAATGGTAGCATTTTGGCCCTACAAGCATCCATGCTGACACCCATAGCCACGGCTATTACCCTGCAAGGTTCTCCAAGCGGGGATAAGGAGGCCCATCCAAACAAATCTGCTTGGAGGCCAGATTTTTTTGGGACTTGCCCCCAAGTCAAATTGCCCAAGTCACTGAGGTTTTGGATCACCAACAGTGCGGCAGCGCCGGCAGGCCTTCCCCGCAAAGCGCGCTCTTCACGGCGGCGCTGAAGAAGATCAACCGAGGCAGCTGGCTGGTCCAGGTAGCCGAAGGTTAACACACTTACTTTGTGAACGTTTCACATACTTTTACTTTAACTTGAGCCTCATGACAAGTTGATTCCACCATTTCTTTGCAACTCTTCTTCCCGAATGCGTAGCAAGGGTTCCCGTTTCACTCTGGGGGTCTGGGGGTCTGGGGGTTGAGGGTGTGTTCGCTCGACGTTGCTTAACCGTTCGCAGCAGTCCGCAACCGTTCGCAACCGTCCTCAACCGTCCGCAACCGCTTGCGCGATATGGCCGTGCCTATGGCGAGTTCTGCAAAGGGGTCACTTTTGGGGTTTCAAACGTCGCATAGCTTCGTTTCGCGTGGCAGGTGTGGCACTTTGTGACATTCAGGCATGTTTCATAACGTGACAAAAGTCGTTTTGTGTGGCAAATGCAATATGTTTGCGACGCTTTCACACGATGAGTTGCATTTTTCGTGGCACGTGCAGCACTTTGGAGACCTGCATCGTCAGTTCGCGTGGCAGGCGCAGCACTTCAGACGTGTCGGTTTGCCTGTTTTTTGCGAATCGCAATGTCAGGGCTGTGTGAAGTGGTGGCAACGTGCAAATTCCGTAGCAGGCGTGACATTTTGTGAGATGGGATGAGAAGTGACGGAAACCTCGCACGAAACATCGATTTTGAGATAGCAAAAGTTCAGGTTCCTGAGAAAACTCGTAGGAAAACGTCGATTTTGAAGCTAAAAAGTGTGAAAATTTGAGGACGTCTCGCATGAAATGCTCGTTTTGATGCTCCTACATGTCTCGTCTCGAGTCTCTGGTTTTCCTGTGGCCTCGAACGTGTCTATAGTGGAAGCTGCAAAATCTTTTCTTTTGGAATTTGGAAGGTGTCAAAGCAAGTTGTAATTTGGTTTTTGTGGCAGGCGTGACACTTCCTGATATTCTCATGAGTCTGGAAACGTATCGGGATTCATTTTGTGTGGCGGGCGCAGTACTCTTGCATCGTTTTCAAAAGCTTAGTTGCATTTTTCGTGGCAGGCGCAGCCCTTTGGAGACATCCATTGTCATTCTGCGTGGCCGGCGCAGCACTTGAGACGTGTCACGTTGTGTGTTTTTTGGCGAATACCAATGTCAGGGCTGCGCCAAGTGGTGACAATGTGCAAATCTGTGGCAGGCGTGGCATGTTGTGACATGCGATGACATTCCACACTCCACACTTTACGCTTTATACTCCGCACCTTACACTTTACACATCACACTTTGCATTTTACACTCCACACGACACTTGACACTTTACACTCCGCACTCTAGACTCCACACTCTACACCCTACACTGCGCACTCTACACTTTACACTCCACACTTTGAACTTTACACTGCCAACTTAACACCCCACACTTTACATTCCACCCTTTACACTCTACACTTTACACTGCACATTCTACACTCCACACTCTACACTCCCAACTCTACACTCCACACTCCACACTCTGCACTCCACACTTTACACTTGACACTTTACTCTTTCCACTCCTCACTTTACACTCCACAATCCACACTTTACACTCCACACTCTACACTTTACACTCTACACTACTCCACATTTTGCACTCCACCCTCTTCCGCATTCCACTGGTACGGTAACAGGGGAAAAATGTAGACTGTTCAAAAAACTTGTTTCACAAAAGTGTTCTATGTGACTGCATTCGGGTTCGTGGGCTGCATCTTGTTTTTGCGGTAGTCACGCACTGAAAGTACCAATTCTGGCTCTATCTGGACCATCCACGAGGTTTTATTTTCGGACTTCTGCTCTTGTGTTCTGTGCAATGATAAAGTGTGTCAGAAGCAGGTCTTGTCCAAAACGAAGAGCAGTTTATTTAGGCCCTCATGCAAGCGTAGCTGGTGTTTGTGCTACTTTGCCTCAAAATCTTGGTGGCGCAGTAGACGCGAGTACTACAAGTTCATGATGTTCGTTGCAGATCAAAGATGATCAAAAATCACCAAACATGACCAAGCACCAGCTACATCCACCACTCTTGGAAGCTGCGTGGGAACTTCACTACGAGACAGGGTGGAGTTGCTACACATCCAATGTCTTGGGTTTGTTCAAAAAGAGTGAACTCCAAAATCCGTCGAAATTCCATAGTTAGTTTATCACCATGTATCCTTTTGAAATGGCATCTGGACAAACCCATATCATGAGAATATTCGCAAGTGAGAGCTATCTGCTAGGTACCAGACACATTGTTCTGCGTCAGATGACCCACAAAACAGTTGGATTACGCTGGTGACAGCCACACCAGGAAATCGCAGTCACTGAGTCCCTTGAATCCTTGACAAACATGAGTGTCGGGCTTTGCGCCACATGTGGGGGGCTAGAACTTTAGGAGTCTCTACTACTCCCTGGAAACCTGGAAATTCAACAGGTTGCTATAGAAAAATCATAGTGTCAAGTGGGTAAATCATCGAACCAACTACGCCATCCCCTGTTGAACTACGGTCTGGCTGCCGGATCCCATCGTCCACCATCCCCTGACTGCGGCAGTCTCATTTGGAAGCCCCCTCAAAGTCACCTGGCTTAAAACATATTACACCAATGGCGCTTCATTGTCATCATGTCAAGTCTGGGCCCATTTGAGACAAACCTAAGAATGTGCCCTAAAAAAGGGCACAAAGGCTAAGATTCGCCAACCATCTGAGGGTTCTTCTTCATTGCGTCGGGCATAGATCTGCACGGGGCATCACGGGCATCGTGAAACGCAAAAATGGGGATGGGTCAAAACCTATCATCTCTACTTTACACGGAAAGGCCGGGATGGTGTAGTATAACTGTAGCCATCAATCATGGAGGAATAAAACATACAGTAGTAAACCAAGTACAAACATACATACTTTTAAACAATGACATGCTATAACATGCTATAACAAGCCATCTGAATGTGGGGATGAATATCCGTATAGCCATGAACAATTTTGGGGTTTCGCCAAGGGATTCCGAGGGTGATCTGACCCTTTGATCCCACCGATGGGGGATGTGGTCAAGATCGCCCTCACCTTTGACTGGGGAATTCATTTGCTCGAAATAAACAACGGACCATTCTTACAGAGCCCCCTAACAGAAAGGAAAATACAGAAGGACTCCTAGACTCTAAGATGCCAAAATTCGAATCACTATAGTGAACTGCTTATGTGCCCAGTCTTCAACATTTTGGAGTCCTGAGCAGTCCTGGACCCAGGAAGGTGCTTCCACAGGGTTTCCTTGGATTTCAACCACCAGTGGTTCATCCTGGCCTCTTATTTTGCTCATGAAACATCGCTGATGTCAGACTTCATATTTTTCTCATAACCAACAACCGATGAACCATTCAACCATATAGGTTGCCTCTTTAATCAAATTTATTAATCGTAGCCGTAGCAATAAAAATACGGTTCAACTATTCAACATTGTTGAACAATCTGTATTCCACTGGTATTTCCAGTAATTAACAACCAAAAACCCAATGATTACCACACGCTGGCATCTATAGCTACCACTATTACTATAATGTGTCTTCTTAAATTATCATATATCACCATTCATACCTGTTATATGACATCAGATCGTCGCCTCCTTCTTCAGCGTCTTGGGGCTATTTTCAATGCTCTCCAGAAATTGCACAATGCTGGATTGACCTTTTTCGCCGGAGGATGGACCCAACATGAGAAGTTGACCAAGAGAGGGGAAGATCATGGGATACCATGAGTTCTACTGACCATACCCCCGACCCCAAAAGTGATTTGCCGCTTGATTACAGCCTCATGATTGCGAAGTCGCCCCAAAGATCCCCACAATGCCCCTGGATGTTTGTGACTGGCAGTGTGGCTTGGGCGGCCATAGAATTTGTATTGGGTTACATTTCCTGAAAATAGTCTACTGGGATCGTCATCCCATTTGTGGTTTGAATATAAACCATGTTCGAAACCACCAGTTTGATATTTTATGATATGTTTTCATTCATTTCAACTGCATTTTAGGGTAGACCTCATTTTGGTGAAAACCCAGATCCAGTGGGTGAAATCTAAACCGCAGCTACGCACATGGACCTGCCAGGAAAATGATGAACATCACCCAGGTGTTTCAATCCATTGGTTTCAGCACTTTGAATCATATTGAATCATAATCGCACCCATCGGCTCCACTGATGCTATACGCCGGAAAAAAGCTTAGGTAATAGTTACAGAAAGAAACCAACCAGAAGGGTAAGTTTTTACCTCCTCACGTGAGTCTAATTTTGGCTCAAGAAAATTGTGCCCTTCAGCTTTGCTTTGGGGTTTTACTTGTGTCATTGATTCTATCACATTTCATTGGGTTATCAAGCCGTACTGGCTCTCCTTACATATGTATTTTCATTTTACCTCGCGCCCGTGTGTGTGTGTGCCATAGTTCTTTGACGATCCTTCTTGCTTGGCGGGATTTTTTTCTTCTTGCATTTCGAAGTTGATCTCGAAATTTGTATGCAAACGCGGCGGCGGTATTGGCCACGAGGAGGTCAGAGCAACACGCGAAAGCAGAAGCATGAGTCGTCCTACGTCTAGGCCACCCGCTCCAAGTGCCTCTTGTCGACCACCTTCATTGGGCGCACATCCGCAGCCAAGTGCAAGGGCTGTTGAACCACCTCAGTCTTCAGGGGATAAGTCTGCAGAAGCTTCGGATAAACGCCTTGTGGTTGATTTTCCCACTGATGCTTTCGCTGATATCTTATGAGGAAGAAGTGGAAGCGGTCGACGCTCAGTCTGGCTGCCAGGCAATCGATTATCGGCCGGCAAAGCGGTTGCGAGACGTCTCGAAGGGTGTAGATCAAGCATTTTTTGATCTTCCTCGCTGGATTCCTGGGAACGTGATTGTGAACAAAGTCGGGGTTTAAGGAGGGAGAGAGGGGTGCCTGGACAGCTTGAAAAGCTTCGAGGCTTTGATTGAATCTTTGGAACTGCGTGGTTCTTGACCTGTATAAGACGGTGGTTTTTTTCCGAAACGGCTTTCATCTCGTGATTCGATCAAACTAGCAAAGCATCAGACAATTGATCGGGAGATTCTGTCAGTCATTTTCCAATTGCAGCGTCAGTTTACTTGCTGTGCTTGTTCTTTCATTGGACGTGCGGAATCTGGTGAGTACTAAGACCACTAGTTTTAGATATTTTCACTTCAGGCGCTTAACGAGGATAATAAGTAACTATTATCCTACTAATATCTGGTTTATTTTTTTAATTTTATTCTGTGCTAAGTTTCACTTATTTTTAATTTGAACTTAGTACATGATATTGAAGATATAATCAAATATAGTCGAATATTATTCTAAAATATCTGAAAATATTTGGAAATAAATTCAATGATTTCTTGTTTTTTTCGATTGGGACCCTTACCGGAATGCAATGATATGGTGACTTTTTGGCTCACACAAGGGGGCAAGCACAAGGTGCTCAAAACTTACAGGGTCCAAACGATGAGAGATGAAAATGATTGCTGGCAAGGAACAGTTGTATAAAAGGATACTTCCTGCAAAGGTTAGTTCTTGCAAAGGATAGTTCAAGAACAGGGTATTTCAAGAACAGGATAGTTCCTGCAAAGGGTACTTTCTGCCAAGAATAGTTTAGGTTCAAGATGTTTCCTCAAGAGGAATGCTATTTGTTTTTCTGCATTTCAGATTTCTTTGAAAAATGTCTGTACTTGAAACAATTTCATTTCTTAATTGTTTTCTTGTGTATTTTTATTCGAGAATGTCTCAAATTAGGAGTGCCCCAAGCTCACTTCTTTTAGTAAAGAAAAAACGGGCTTGGGGCACTCAGTTATGGCACCCCTATTCTGAGACATCCCCATTTAATGTTCGAACATTTCTGAATTTTCTGTATTTTCTGGATTGTCTGAATTTTCTGATTTGTTGTGCTTTCTGACTTTTCAAACTTCTGGGTTTCTGAATTCTGATTTTTTTGTGCTTTCTGAATTTTCTCAATTTTCTGGGTTTTCTGAAATTTTCTGAATTTTCTGTGCTTTCTGATTTTCAGTGTTTTCTGAATATTCGGGGTTTTCTGTATTTTCTGCATTGTTTTTTTAATTTAAATTAGAATTCTGAATTTTCTGGGTTTTTTGAATTTTCGTTTTTTTTTGGGTTTTCTGAATTTTGTGAATTTTCTAAGTTTTTTGAATTTTCTGAATTGTTTTAACCCAAGAAGTCCTAAGACCTCAAAAAGTACATCCTTGCGAAAAGTGGTCCTAAAAAGGGTTGTCGCCGAGGATTCATAGCAATGCCGAGGATTCCCCGGCCGAGGATTTTATAACTTTGCCGAAACTTCTATAGCCGAGGGTTTGTAGCGTTGATAAAACTGTGCCGAATATTCCACTGCCGGGAGTTTATATAGTAGTGTCAGTAGTGCTAGATGTTTTGTTTCAACATACCACTTTGCAACCCCACCGAGGCAGCTGACATAATTAGTTTTTTCCAAGTTCAATGCTTGTGCCGTGCTGATTTACTGTTTTTGTTTTCTGGCCTGGACATTCAACCACAAAATGTCAAGCCTGTTTTTGGATGTTTTTGTTTTGTTTTGAGGTGGTGAACCAGCGGGAAAATTACGAGCGAACGACTTTTTATTGCGAAATGTTGTCATCAAGAATGGGCTGCTCACGCTTGCTCACGCTTTGCTCACGTTTTGCTCACGCTTGCTCACACTTTGCTCACGGTTTGCTCACGGTTTGCTCACAGCTTGCTCACGGTTTGCTCACGCTCGCCGAGGTTCCTTTTGAGTCCTTTAGCTTCCTTTTGAGTCCTTACGAGGTTCCTTTTGGGTCCTTACGAGGGTCTGCTCATGGTTTGCTCACGGTTTGCTCACGGTTTGCTCACGGTTTGCTCACAGCTTGCTCACCGTTTGCTCACGGTTTGCGCACGGTTTGCTCACGGTTTGCTCACGGTTTGCTCACGGTTGCTCACGGTTTGCTCGTGCTGCTCACGATTTGCTCATGCTTTGCTCACGCTTTGGGGGATTATGTGTCTATCTTGATGAAGAAACCCATAAGCAAACCATGCCACTTTTTTGTTGTTCCGAGCCATGTGTACCTAAGGCACACAGCTTTCAGGCTGCAGACTCCTTGAGGCTGATTTTCAAATCTGAAAAAAAACACATGCCACTCACAACCCTTCGCTGAAGCGGGGTTGCCACACCCCTGCCTCAGCCTGAGATATGTATGTGCAACGTTCCTTTTAGGCCCAAAGGACCCAAAAAGTACATAGTCCCAACTATGCTGAACATGTTCCTTTTGGGACCACTTTCCACGAGATCTCATAGGACCTCAAAAAGTTGTCCCTTAGACTTGCTGGGTAATTTAAATTAGAAATCTGAATTTCCTGTATTTTCTGGATTTTCTGTGGTTTTTTAATTTTCTGAATTGCGTTTCTTTAATTTAAATTAATACTCTGAATTTTCTGTATTTTCTGAATTTTCTGAAGTTTCTGAATTTTTGGGTTTCTAGAATTTTTTGAATTTTCTGCATCTTCTGAATTTCCTGATTTTTGTTAAATTTTCTGATTTTTCTGATTTTTTTTATTTTTCTAAATTTTCTGTGTTTTCTGAATTTTCAGATTTTTTATGAATTCTGTTTTTTATTTTTAATTTTTCTTTATTTAATTGTTAATTCGATTTTTAACCTATACCATGCGATTTTTCACTTCCAAATGTATAATACAACAAATATATATATATATTTGAAGAAACACTACAAATAACTATAACACAATATATGCTATGATCCGAAGCTATCATCTCTATAGCTATCATCTCTTCTTGGCACGCTGCTTGAAGAAAAATCCAAAATAACCAAATATTTTCTGACAGGAAACTTTCTTGGGAAAGATATTTCCTGAAAAGGATACTTCCCGAGAATTCCTGAAAAGGATGGTTCCTGGACAGGATAGTTTCCTGAAAAGGATAAAATCTACTAAGAAAACTTGCCAAACGACAAAGACAAAGAAACGCTATCTAAAATCTATTTTTTTTCCGCTATTTCATGTCTTATATTCAATCGTTTCTCGAAAATGTGTGCAAAAATTCAATCCTTCACATTATAGTTCTAGGCCTTTGGATGTTTTCAAAAAAATAAGTTAAACTAAGTTCAAATAAGTTTTATGATAAGTTCGAATAAGCACTAATATTTTCATTAAGTGCCTGAGGTGAAAATATCTGAAATTAGTGGTCTTAGTGCATTGAGGCGTTGCTTCATAGTGAATTGGCAGCAGTGATTCTTGTCTTGTTTGTTTTTTTTACAACCGTGATCAAAAGGCAGATCTTGCAAAAGAATTTTGTGCGGTGGGGGCAATTGACAACCAGAGGTAAGTCTTGCAACGTTATCACCGTGATGGGATTTTTGCTGTGGAGGTCAGCCGCGGATTCAATCTGCCTTCGCACAAGGACGAAATCATCAAGCTGCTGCGCGGCCAAATTGGAATCCAACCAGTGCGTGGTTATCAGTAAAGCCAGGCATTATAGGCCGATTGGTTACGGTTGTAAGGGTGCGTTAGCTAATAGACCAATTACCCATTGGAAATCACTATGATTTGCTCCAACCATGGCGGAAAATCCATCCAGTGGTTCCAGCGAATTGCATTTGGCAGTAGCTTCCGTTGGCAGCGCACCAGTTGTGAGTTCTC